ATATCATCATGTGCTTTGCTGTCTGTAATAATAAATTAACAACTGTGGACCTATTTTGTAATGCCTGCTGTTACTGATTGAAAAGGGGATTGACAAGTGGAAATATGGAAGTCAAAAAGAAATATTAATACTTTTCAGGTTGGAAAGTGCCCAAGGAGTTGTCAGGATTGCTCATTAAAGTAGCAGAACATAACTATGGTAGGGTACTATGTTCTCTATATATACAGAATCAGTATTGCATGAAGAGCTTTTTTTCAAGGATTTCATTTCTAGTCATAAAAATGCTTTTTAAACTAACAGCTTTCTTCTGCTCGGTAGGATGTGATTTGTTGGAAGTGTATGTTGACCTGGAACCAACAAGGAGATGACTAAGTAGGAGGAAAATGGTTTTAACATGCCTCTGCTTTGCCAAGGAATATGGAAACAATAACAGATTTGTCAAGTCTGTGGGTCAGCTAGCTTTGTGGTGATATATGATATTTCTCTATGCACGACATACTTGCTGTATTGAGTTATTTTTTTCTAAAGCACCACTGTGCTTTAGAAACATGAATCTGTCTGTGCCCCGGCCGCTGTTTATCACGTCCATCAGCTTGCTGTTTACTGATCAGATGTATCCAGAGTAGGTGGGAGATTTTTACTCCTTTTCATCGTGGCAGACACATAAGGTGGTCTGTCATCTTATTTGTTTTATGGAGTAATCTGATAGCCAGGACTGTGCATGTTTGGCCAAAGTATTTTTGGTTCATGCACTAAAGCTCTACAGTAGTTCTTCTCCCGTTTCCCCATTTTTGTTTTCTCCAATCCACGACACCCCCCCATGCTGCCTTTCCTTGTCACATCGGGGTATGTTGTATCACTCCTGTGCCAAGCAGCCTCTTCTCAAGGTTTCAGACAGTGCAGAGATGATTCCTGGTGTACTTCCTTCTTTGGAAGAAACCCAACAGCTTGAAAAATGAGTATTCTGTTTAATAAGAAATGAAAACTTTAGATGCTGTTTTTCTTTTCATTTAAGAGCAGAATTGTGCTCTCGGGGGCCAGGGATTGATAATCACCCAGAAGAAATCACAGGAACACCCTTTCCTCGGTGAAGAGGAGGTAGTACCTCAATGGTTAGTTGCTCTGGTGACCAGGTTCAAGTTCTGCATGTTTCAGGAGTGAGCCTGGACCATCCAGTGACCTCTGTTTCTCCACCTAATAAATATTTTGTTGCAACAGATGTGATCTCATATCCTCTTACAGGCCACTTGTAAAGCAGTCACTGAGGCATGACCCTGTTCAGTGGAGAGCTCAAAATGTGGGAAAATGCTTGAAGAAGGAAGCAATGATCTTCAAGAGGACAGTTGTTTAATAATACATTATATTATTATCATATAAATAAGGTTTGCAGTGCTGACCATCTCCCTCCTCTAAAAATCAAGTTTTCTCAATCAATTCCTAGAGCCTCTTAGTTATCTCCTCAACTTTCTGTTAATATAGGAAGAAAGGACACCATCAACGCCCTTTTCAACTCCCTGCTGTTTTCTGTGTCCTGCTTTTGGTTCAGGATTTTTCCTGTGTGTTTCAAGTTTTTCATTGGCATAGGGAAGCACGCTGCTGTCTCTTAAGTGCAGAGCTCATGGAGGAGGTATTGCATTAAATCTGTTTGGGCTCACTGCCTGCTGCTGGGGAGAGGAGGAAGGGAAGAGATCTGGATTCCGTGGCACTAGAGGTCCTTTCCAGCCCTGCATCTGTTTCTACCCCCTGGGTTTCCCTGGCAAAACCCCACTGGGAATTGAGTGGTTGCACTCTCTCTTGCATCAAGTTTCAAGCTGACTTTCTGTTATCATCTGCTCTTTTGGAGCAAAGCTCCTGGCTTGCTAAAAAATAAAGTACAGTGAATAAATAAAATCATAGAATTGTTTTGATTGGAAGGGACCTTTGAAGATCATCTAGTCCAACCACCCTGTCATAGGCAAGGACATCTTTCACTAGATAGGTTGTTCAAAGCCCCATCCAACCTTACCTTGAACAGTTTCAGGGACTGGGCATCCAACTTCTCTGCTCCAGTGCCTCAACACCCTCACTGGAAAAAATGTCTTCCTCATGTCCAATCTAAATTTCTTCCAGTTTACAACTACTGTCCCTTGTCCTCTCACTTCCAGGCCCTGGTAAAAAGTCCCTATCTGTCTTTTTCACAAGCCCCCTTTAAATATTGAAGGTCTCCCTGGAATTTTCTGTTTTTCAGGCTGAACAATCCCAATTCTCCCAGTCTTTCCTCACAGGAGAGGTGCTCCAGCCCTCTGAGCATTTTTGTGGCCCCCATCTGAGCTCCCTTCAGCAGATCCACGTCTGTCTTGTGCTGGGGACCCCAGAGCTGCAGGCAGTGCTCCAGCTGGGGTCTCACAAGAGTGGAGGGGAGGGGAATGTTAGTAAAGAAATGTTAGTGCTTATAGCATGGGTAGTAAGTAGTTACAGTGAACAACAAAAAATGGTAGATCGACTTTTTGACCAGAGGAATTTCTGCCGGGCTGCAGGAATTTTTTTGTGCAAGCCTTTTCTTTTGCTGCTTGGTGTACTTTTTCCTTTCTTGCAATTTGAAACTAAGCTAAACTGTTCTCTGGCGTTGTCAGCATGACCCCAGAGGTCTTTGGAGAAGCTAGTTACTTTGGTTTCTTCTTACTGCATCTCCCAAAATAATACCATAGTCTATCTTTAAGCAGCATGATGTTTGTTTTTTACTGCTAGTCCAAACATTTGTACTGGGTTGTATTTCCACCTCTGCCTTCTTACGAAGGAATTCCAGCTGAATAGGGACTGTCTCCCTTCACTTGAGCTTGTGTTTTTCTGGATAAGGAATTAGGGGTTTCTTACAGTTTATTAATTTTTCTTTTAGCATTATGTAACCTGTACAAGGTTGTAAGTACATAAGTTTAAGTAGCATGTTCTTTATTAGCTCATTTTATAGTCCTTGGCCTATTCCTCTTCAAAATTTTCACAAGCAGCATAAGTTGGCCTAAGTACATACTTTGAGTTAATTAAATCTCCTAAGTAGTGTTTCATTTTCTTCTTCCTCTTGAAGTTGGTGAGAGATTAGTTATAAAAGAAAATTAGTTGGTTGATAGCATCACATATTTGATCAGTGCTGAAACAAGATAACTGCCTCAGGTGTATGATGAACTCTTCATTCCTGTGTGAACATTCAGCATATTAAAAGCTGACAACATTATTTGGACATTCATGCTGACAAAATATTATAGAAGATCACAATTAATGAAATGAGGAAGTACTAGAACACAAAACGTAAACATTTTTAAAAAGTCTTAATTCCTTCAGTGGGTTTGTTCCCATCAAAGCTTTTTACTTTAGCTGAAAGTAGACTTGAAAGATTTGCAAGTGATGTTGATGAACCCAAGATTTTGTTTGAGATTATTCTTTTCAAAACATAAAAAATAATTTGACTGTTGCTCATACTAGGGTTTGAGACTAAATGGTGAAGTGTCTGTTTACTCTCCTGACCTCTTGACTGAGGCAGCACAGTTGTAGTGGACAAATTAGTAAAACAAAACTACCTTTTTTTCTTTTTTTCATCTTAAGATTTTATGCAGAGGGTACCTGAGCATCCTGAGAGAATAAGATGTTAAGTGTTGATGAAAAGTAAACCTACTTCATTGTATCTGATGAAGTTGCTGTACTATTTTTTTTTTTTTATTTTTGTCTGCAAATGTTTTCAAAGAGTTTTAACTTTCTCCTGTTCATAAGATGCTTCTGACTTGCATCTTGGTTTCTGTATTGTTCTTGGGTTTTAGCTAGAACTCGATGTCACCACTTGTAGCTTCCAATAGTCAGGGGGGTCATTCAAAATACTTTCCATTTCCCACTGAGGTGCATTCTTGGAAGAACTTTTCCAATCCAAATAACTGGCATTTATTACTTTTTAATTGCTTAGTTTAATACTTGCTTACATTTGCTGTGGGTCTGTAAAATGAGAGCCCTGGAGGGCACATGCATGCAGTCACTGGATTCAGTTACACAGCTTGATGGATGTTTTGGGAAAAGCATATTTGTGTGTATGTGCAGTTTGTTACAGATGGTGTCCTAACAAGGAAAAGGTTGTGCTAATGCTGAAGAAAAATGAAATGAAAGTAAGTAACTGAAGTAGTAAAAAAAAAAAGGATGGCCTTAGAGCTTAGCATCATTTTTTTCCAGCAGCTGTGGGGAAAGCAGTCAGTGTGGCACACACATGGTTGAGCTCAGCAAACATTCTCAGGATGCACTATGCAGGCAACAATCAATGGGCAGGAGAAATTTCTCTGGGTAGTTCTGCCCCTCTGGATGTTACCAGTGTCCCACTGTTAAGTCCAATGCCTTTTTGTGAAACCTGGTCATGCAAGTAGGTAAGGATCTTAATTCCATATTAAACAAACAAACAAAAAAGTTCATTGTTAGTCTTCGAGATTGTAAAGAAAAATCTTAGCAGGTGAAAGAGTTCTGAAGCTTTAAAAAAGGCAAGGTGGACAAAATACAGACATTTCACCTAATAAATTAACTTAAGGTGGATCATTTTTTCATTCAGATTTGTTTCGGGGGACCAGTGAATTTTTAGAGCTCTGGTTTTGACAGTGTGATTCTATGAAAATAGTCTGAGTCCAGTGCCCTTATGGAAATGCAGATCTCAACTCCTTCCTCTTCTGGCATATAGAAATTAGGAGAAGACTCATTTTTCACAGTTTAGGATTGCTTGTGGAGGAGACAAAACAGGACTCCTGTATCACTGAAACCCAAGCTGATGTGCATTATGGACCTGCACTTAGAGTCTGTTTAGTTTCTGTCAAGGAGGGCTAGGCTGTATGCAAACTGCACTGCTGTAAATTTGAAACATCCACAAATTATTCTGAATGAGTTTTTCACTACCCCTCGTAAATCTTTTCTTCTGGGTTTGCTCCGCTGTCTCTTGGATTGCGGCTGAACTTAATCTGAACATGGTCAGGTTAATTCTGGTCCTCCCTTTTGCTTTGTAGGGCTCCTCAGTGGGCAGACCTCTCCGACCAACACCAAGCTGGAGAAGCTGGACCCCCAGCAGGTGCTGCAGCTGTGTCTGCGGTACCAGGATCACCTCCACCAGTGCGCAGAGGCCGTGGCCTTCGATCAGAACGCGCTGGTGAAGCGCATCAAGGAGGTACCGTCGCGTGTCCTCTTGTGGCGGGGAAGGGCTCGGGGCTGCAGGTGGTTTATGGTTTGGAGGTGGCTCCCTGCCAAGTCTCCAAACCTTACCACAAGAAGTCCTCCCCCCCCCCCACCCCAAACCAAGGGAGAAGAGGGGAAAAAAAAACCCAAAAGAACCGAAAACGAGAGAGAGACAAAGCAATATATATATAAATATATTTACACTTATATTTACAGTTATGTACAGTTGAAATATATATACAATTTCACAGGGAAAAGGGAAAGGGAAGAACAAAAACCAAAATAATACATATATATATATATATATATATTATCCCAATCAGTAGCCCAAGGTCTATCAACTAAAAGAATTAGCAGAGAATATCTTACTACTCTCCTTGGGACAACGGGGAGTCACGCTGGGGCGACTGCCGGCAGCCTCCGCCTCCCAAGGTCGACAAGGCCTCACCAGGCCTCACTCCCCAACCCGACAGACTCAACACAGGGAGATCTGCACCTCCAAAGCCGCCAGAAGGAAAGAGAGCAAAGGTCTTTCCTCCCTTCTTCTTATACCCCAGTTTACGTAAAAATCGTAGGGAATACCGGGTAAATCTGGGCACTTCCTTGGTTACAAGCTGGTCACCAAGGAAGGCCTAGACCAAACTACCACAAGGTGCTTGCTCTGGGTGGCTGTGGGTCACTTGCAGCAGTCTGCTTCAAAGCAACCTCTGTAGAGAAACTTTGTACATGTGCACTTCAAGCGAAGTTTCCAGGTTTTCGTCGTGGTTGCTGTTGGGTTGTGTGTTTGTTGGTTATGCCCTCTGATTCCTGGCCGTAAACAGCGGCTGTTCTGATGCCAAGATTTTGCCCCCAAAAAGGCACGAACGAAAAGAAACTGCTTAGAGACAAAGTTTGTAGCCTTTAAGCAGGAGGTACTTTATTTCACGGGCCTCCGGAGCGCCCGGGGAACAGTCAGGTCATCCTGGAAGAACCGCTCCGCCTTTTCAGTAAAAAGACAGGATTATATATAATTTCTACAAGTGATTACAACATTTCTACATGTATATTCATAGAATTGCAACATACATTTTCAATATTCATAACTGGTGGAGTTTAGGCGGAGTTAGAGGTGTGGTCTTCAATTTGAGGAGAATCTGGGAGGGTAGATCCGGCCTTCATCCCCAGGAATCCCCCTGCCCACTTTTCATACTCGTCGTGAACTTTGTGAACTTTCTTACTTTGGCTGACTTCCTAGTGCATCTGGCAAAAGTTTCTGATGATTTTGCAGGGATACCCAGGTTTTGGCTCATCTTCCTTCTTTATCAGGTTGTTCTTCTGAGTACCTGAGTTCTTGTTCTCCTGTGTCAGTATGTTCTGCATACCTTAATGAATTATTGCCTCTACTATTTCTAAGACTTAAGCTTTTCTGCTCTTGCCTATACCTATATTCTGAATTTAACTCTCTACTTTTCATATAGTTATATTTGCTTTCTGGGCCTTGTCCGGCTTCAATTCTTCTGGTGTGGCAATGTGCTGGTTTAAAGGTAAACCAGCAGGGGAAAATGAACTCAACCCAAAAGAGAGATTGTAAGTCAGAATAACAATTTAATAAAATAACACAATAAGTACGATTATACAGACAAACAATTGGTTTTAACCCACAAAACCCAAATGTATGACCCAGCACCCTGGGGCAGGAACAGAGTGGTGGTAGTTGGGCCCCCTGAGTCCAAGGCAAAGGGAGAGGGGGGAAAACCTGTTGGTGAGAGCACTGCTGCAGTCCAGTCAAAAGTGGTGATTGCAGTCCGGTCGAGGGTGGTGGTCTCAGTCTGGCTGAGAGTGGTGGCTGCAGTCTGGTTGAGAGTGGTGATCTGCAGTCTTCCTCTGGATCCCATAAGTGGTTAAAAAAGTCCCAAGACTCCAAGATTATATATCCTCCAGTTCAGGCAGGGATGCTCAGTACCTCCCTCAGGGCGGGGGGTTCCTTAATGGGTGTGAGGACAAAAGCAACATCCTGTCTCGCAGGCCTCTTAACACCTAGTTTATAGCCTGAGTCGTCAGGCTCTATGTGCAGATGGTGTAAATGGCTCATTGATAACAGTTTCTGGGAAGGCTCTAGAATACACAGTTTTGGGTTACACCCATCCAGTGATGAACTGGTCCCAGTTGTTCTAACTAAGACAGGCAAGTGCTGCGAGAAACTGTTGAAGAAGTGAAAGATTACTGACATTTTTAAAGGCAGCATTCCTTATTTAGATCTGTATAGTATACATTTTATTATGCCTTATGGTTAGGCTCTGATTTAAGGAAAGAAACAGTTATCTAAACATCTGTGGCTGGAGAAGGTAGTACTTCAGTGGATTTGTAGAGCTAGACTTGTTTTCAAAGCTGTCTCGTTTCTGATCTGTGTGGCAAAAAGGTCTTCCTGTGCTGTTGCTTTTACCAATAAACCGTCATTTGGAAATCACTGATCTGTTTAAATATTGAATTATACTGTTTGGGATTAAATTAATTCCTGGGATGAGCATCCTGCAATTGGATTGCCCTTCTCATATGTGATTACTGAACCTGAAAGCAGTAGGATGGCTGACAGGTTTTCATTTTTTTATTTTTTTTTTTAAGTCAAGACAGGCTGGCGTGAGAGGAGATGTTGTTTGAGAGTGTTTTCTCAGATACTCCCAGATGTGTAGAAGAATTGGTGAATGCTGCATATGTCAAAAGTTCTTGAGACCAAATACCTTTCAGAGTAAAAAAATTTTGAACACATGGTTAATTTTTATTCGTGCAGTATAAACACCGACCTTGATTTGTTGCTGCTCTATTGGCTTAGAGTTAAGAAAACCCCAGATGACAAAATGAATAATAAATTTGATTTATGGCCTGTTTTGAGAAGCTGCTGTCATCATGAAGTTTTCAGTCCAAAGTAATATGGGAGCCATTAAAATGGCCTTTTTATTTTGGTATATCAAGATCTGAGGCCAGCTATTACACAAGATGTAAAGATATTTGCAGATGTTGGTGACTCAGATCACACAATCTCAGAAATGGGATTTAATTGCCAGCCTAATGACAGTGTGCTGCGTTAATCCAAGCAGACTGTAATTCTTTTGGCTTTTAAAGTGAGAGAGGGAATATTGACATGATTTAAGGTCATTGTAGACTCCACCAGTACAATCTGCATTAATTGGGCTTGCCTTCTATAGGGCAAGTGGCAGAGTCCCTTTCAAATTAGCTGTGGTGGTTTTCTTCCAGTTCGTAAAGCTTGTGCTTATTTTTCATCTAAAATAAATAAAATTATGATACTGATATTATCACTAGCTTCTTTAACAGACTCCTCTGACAAAGTGATGGAGAAATGGGCAACTCCCTAATGCAGGGAACTGATAAGTCAGATGTGGGTTGTGGTTTTTTTTTTCGGTCGCAACATTTAAGTAACTTCAGATGCTTTCAATCCCTCTGCCAGATCCGCTGGTTTTTAGTGTTCATTTCGCTAATAATTTCTAAATTGCATTGGCTGTTCTGCCTGTGTGTTCTGGAGGAGCTGGGTGGGACCCAGTTGGCTTAAATCTGGGATTTAATCCCAAAATTGTTTGGGATCTGCTCGATGAACTAAATTGAACCATTGGTGACAGTTGTTGACAACAAGGGGTGCAGCTGAACTATAGCAGGGTATGTCTCTAGTTACAAGTGTAGACAAAGGAAACCACATTTGGCATCACCCATTTGTCAGCAGTGATTTGGTTTTGCCATGTACACAAAGCTTTGGCCGCTAGTAAAGGGTAAAAATGAAAGAGAAAATAAAGAATATTATGAAAAGCATAATGTGTGCACGAGCTGGGACAGTAAATTTTTTATCCTCATTTTGGTAGCCAGTATTTCCCTTTTCCTTCCTTTAACAGTGTAACCATTAAAGTGTTTTTCTTCTGCTAACAGACTTATCAAGTGACTGATGTTTTAACTTCCCTACAAACTCTTGGTGAGCTTCAGTCCCTGATACCCTTCCATTTGTCTGAGGTATATTCACTTTTCAGACTATCACTGACTGTTCTCAGTGAGTAATAGTCCTGCTATACAGTGTGCTACACTCTCACTGCCTCCAGCCAGGAGTGTTTTTTCAGTCTTTCCTTGGCAAAATGTCCCAGGGCAAATATCTTTTGTTCATTGTCTGTATTGCCAGAAAAAAGGTTTCCTGGATTCTGTCAAAACTCAGAAGTACTTCTGTAAATTTATTGGTCCTCAATAACTCATAATTGAGTGTGGTGGTTTGTAATCAGCACACAGTCTGAATTACAATGGTTCTTAACAGGAAAGAGAATAAGCTAAAGAAAAAAAAGAGTGCCTGCATGACAGTAGTTACTGCAGATCTGAGTAGATACATTTGTGCATTCCTTAACTTCAGGGAGCAAAACAGTTTAGCTTCATTCTCCATCCCATTTCCCACTTTATCCAGAATTTCTTTGCAATGTGTTGGCTGGATCCATATTTGCTCCTAAATGTAGAATCTGTGTGGCTTCCAGGTTGGTGTGACTGTTCTCTCTCAAGAGGAAATACATTTACCCAAGTGTTTCCTTGAAGGGGAGAGAATTAATTGAACATGTGATTGAAGGTAGTTGATTCAGGTGCCTTTCTTCAGCAATTACAGTTATTTGTACCTGAACGAGCTTTGTTTTGGAAGGGAGTGATTTACTTATGGCAAGAGGTGTTGTCTTCACTGTCAAAAAATAAAAAAAAAGAGGATGTACAAGATGAGTTTGAAGGGAAATGTTGATCAGCGCTAAAGGTATGGCTGGGGAAAAGTAGGAATGAAGCAGGATGAAGACTACATGAAGTCCTTATCCGTGGAGGATGTGTGTTTTGGGTGGCAGGGAGAGACTTTGAAGAGTTATGTGATAGGGGATGGTGAGTAACAGGGAACAGAAAACAAGTAGAATAGGTAAAAGCTGGGGAACAGAGCTAAATTTTCAGAAAGAGCCCATGTTTTTGTGTCTAGTTTCAGTGCCTTAAAAAACCTATTTTTTTGTGCACAAGGTACTAAACATGTCAAAAATGATATCTTACAAAATATCTGAAGGTAAGTATCCAAAAATTGCTAGCCACACATCAAAATTTAGGCTTATCCTTTCTGTGAAAGCAAAAGGGAAGATGAAAGCCATCTAAGCTCCTTTCAAAAAAGCTTTGAATGAAAAGATCTTTAGCATTTCTTATTAGACTTCCAGCATTGTCAAAGGGGATGTGCTTTTTGAAGTTTCCTGTGTACCCTTAAAGGCAAATGTAGTTCCTAGGTACACTGTTCATAAAATGTATTTCAAAGTGGGTTACTTAGTCTCTCATGCTTTGCCTGAACAACAAATATAGATGCATTATTATTTGTAGCTTTTGTTGCCATAGAAATCCCATGCTGCCAATAATTTCGAAAACAGAACACTTTTTACAATACAAGATGAAATGTAAAATGTCTCAATCTAAGCTGGCACACATCTATGGGGGCGAAACCCTCCATTTATTCAAATATAATATTACTTTTATATTCTCAATAGTTAAGCAACTTTTGTCCAGGTAGGCATTAATATCAGTAATTGGTTTGTCATGCAGCAAATTGCAGCGTATGGCTTGTTTCATACCTATAAACTCCTCTATGGGAATAGCTCATTATTCTGAACAAGTATTCCAGAACAATATGTGTATGGATTTTATTTGTTTCGGTCTGTTGTTGGTGGTTTTCTTTCTTTATCAGTTTGCAGCAAAAAAGTAAATGTCATGGGCTTCTCTGGTGTGTAGTTAAGATGTCCAGAAATACATCCCTTAATATTTGGCAAATAAATAACTTTTGCAGCCATACATACATGACATCATGTCTCCCAGTATATTTCAGCTATTTAAAATTATGAATAGGTGTTAAATCATTATTCTCTAAGAAGCAAGTCTGGTGCATTTGACAGACTAACAAGAAAATCACTTTTACACACGAGCATGTTGTAGCTTATCTCATGCATTTAAGACTCATAAATTGTGATTCAGCCATTCGTGTGCCCAACAATTTTGGGGTTTAGGGATTTTGGGGTTTTTTTTGTGAATGCCATGTAGCTTTTTGACCTTTATGGCAACTACTTTGTTTCTATGACATAGAGTGTGGTTTTATCCAACGTGCCCCTCAACCAGTGGCAAAACCTTCTGCGGAATGTGGTGTGCAGAAGTCATCAGCATGGTTTTGTTCCACCCTGAGGGAAGGATGGGCTTGCTGTGGGCAGGTCCTATGGCTTTAAACCTGTCTCATTAGAGGTGGGAGGGCTGGCTCTGGTAGGGACAGCTTGTAAAGGTCTTGACAGTGCCTGGTGGAGATTTAAGGACAATATACCTTGAAGGTGGTGATAAAGGGAAAAACTGTCTCAAGTGCAGGGGGCTGTTCCATCACCAGGAATGAATGAGATATGAGCCAGAAACTTTGGAAAGACATTGTCTGGCTGGGGACTACGTCAGTGCAGTGCAGCAAGGCTCCAATGAGACTTGAAGTGCACATCTGCTGTAAGCACCCATAGTTTCTACTGTGCAAAGCACCACAGTCACTTTTCTTAACTCCTTCCCTCTCTGGGCAGAAAGATTTGAAGTGCCTGGGATTCATACCATGCTCCAGTCACAGCTGAGCAGTGTCCCTTCAGAGAATCAACTCAAATGAAGGGGATGTTTTGTGGAGGTGTTTTTGCTTGGTCTTTGGTTTGGTTTGTTTCTGCTGAGTGAGGGGTTCATTGCCATTCCTGTTATTTATGGTTTCCTGCTGGAGGTTTCAGACCTAAGTTTCCAAGACTGTTTGTGAAATCTGTTTTCAGCAGACATGCCCACCTTACTGAATTAGGCCAGCAAAAGATAAATGGCCTTACCAAATCCAAAATGCATCTTCAACTTCAGGCCTTTGCTTTAAGGGGCCATATGCTCATATGGATCAGACCACTAAGTTAGCTTTTATCCCATTAAAGGGAAGGGCTCAGAGAATCAAAAGCAAGCCTGTTAAAAGAAGCCTGGCAAAAGTGAAAAAGGAGGTGCATTTAGTTTTGACACAACATATAAAGATGTCCTAGATGAGGCCGTGTTAACTTTCAAGCAAAATTGAGCCTTTTGGTTCACAGACTTAAATTAGCAATTCCTCAAATCCAGGGAAAGGAGCCTGACAATTCCTTGCAATGTAATATTTCTGAAATGGGGAAGAACCTGGGTTGAAATGCCATTTGTATTTTCAAGGGATTTAATGCCACACTGCTTTTTAGAAAAAACTAGGGAACATAGCAGTCTGTAAGAAATCAATACCTTAAATATAGCCTTTGGCATTTTGAAAGTTGATTGATGAGGGCTGTGATGATATATCCAGCTCATTATTTCTCATCTCATCTGAGATGAAATGTTGTTTATAAAGACTGGAGCCTTAACAGGCACCATCATGCAGAAATAAATGTGCAGGATTATTAAGCTGGAAACGTGTTAAGCTTCATATCCCTCAGTTGATCTTGCTCATTTTGCTCCAGCCTGATGTGCAAGTAGCTTGAATACGTGAGTGGTGGGGTGATGTCTTAACCAGCCAGCATCAAAATGTGAAAATGCTCTTGAAAAAGCTTCACAATTGTTACTTTAATAAATAGAATGTCTTGTGGTGTATGCTTGAGGTAGATGGCCAGTGCTCTGTTTTACATGAACTTCATGAAGTGATCTAGCAGTTATAAAGGAAGAGGAAATTGTTTGCACTTGTGACAGCCTAAAATCTGCTGTGCTAACATACAGTCATTTGGTGTCATAAAAAAGACCAGCCCCTTGCTCCTAGAATATGTGTGTGTAATCAGTTCCAGCATGTCCCCTTCTCTTGTGCTTTGGTTTCTCTTGTGCTTTATGGCCTTTTGAGGAAAGATCTAAACTGGAATCCTTTCTGCCACCGAACTTGCAAGGAAGAGTAGAAAATTAAACAAGCATCCAGCAGTCAGAAAGGTTTGTACCATTATAGAATTTAGGTGCATAAAAAACTGTCACTGAAGATCCCAAGTCTAGTATGCTAAGCCTTTTAGTAAGGCTTTCATCAGGACTAGTGCATGGAGCTTATGATTATCAGGTATCAGAAGGAATATAATTCAGTTTCTTTTAACAGCTTGTTTAAACTAGGAAATTGGATTTCTTATTCTAACCTTGTTACCCCAGGTGGAAAAAAATCTCAGACAACCCCCTGCCCCAACATTGTAGAACTTCAGATAGGAATAAGAAGTGTTGAATTTCATTGCATAGTTAGCAGACTTGATGTTGAATTGGGGCATGAAACAGGTTTGAGAAATGAAGGAAGCAAGTATCAGCCTGGGCTGTGTCACACAAGGTACTTCCAGGAGAAATAGGAACATATTGATTGTATTGTGCAAGGCTGAGAGATGATCTCATCTGACACACCGTGAGCAGTTCTCATCATGTTCAAGGAAGGCGAGTTCATAATGCAAGAAAAGGGCTATAAGGATGCATAGGGAGTGGAGAGCCTTGGGGAGGAAACTGGAAAAGCTTCACTTGTTTGGCTTAGTCAGATAAAGATAGAAAATGGTACAATTTCTCTTCTTAAATAAGACTGGGGTTAGTGTAGATTGAAAATAGTCTTCTCCCTCCCT